ACAATGTTACAATTAAAAGAATACAAATAAATTAAAAATATACACATAACCAACAATAATAAAAATATTCTAAGACGGGAAAGCTCTTAAAAATAAATGTGTTTACAATTTTTTTCTTAAAACTATAAACAGTATTACAAGATTATAAAATAATAGGTAGTTTATTCCATTAAACAGGTATGACGGGCGGATGCGGTCACAATGGGCCATTTATATGACTTACTAATTCCATTTATATGACTTATTAATTCCATTTATAAAGCTTTATAATTAATTACTTACTTAGGCACGTGTGGACGCTGAAACCCATCGAAATGGGTGACTGAATTGAATATTATTTTCATAGTTTGATAAATAATTATGAAACTACGTAATTATTTATCAAGTCTTATAAATCCATTTATATAACTTAGAAAATAATCGGCAATCTCCGTACTCCTTCGTTGAGTCGGCCAATTGGCCAATCAAATCCCTCGTTACATATAGCGGTGTTTTACCTTTCATGGCGGCTATTGTAAACATAAAATGACGAGAATAAGTTTTATGCATGTTTTAGTTATCCTAGCGTCAATTTACTTTGCTAAGGTTACCGCTCCCCCTCCACCCACCGACCGGGGTAGTTCTTTTCACAATTTCTTGCGAGTTTGCCGAAATATCGTGTCGGATGATGTAGGCCCTATGACACCGACGCACACAACTCGAAAACCGCGGACGGGAGTGGGAGGGGCTTGCCATTCAGTAAGACGACCTGTGATTGGCTGGCCGAAGCATCCTCGGGAATTTCCGGGCAGATGTACGAACTTTCCCGAATATTTAGTTCGTTAGATAATTCATTTATAAGACTTAGAAAATAGATTTATATAGCTACCATATTATTTACAAGACTTTATAAATCATTTATCAAGCTATGAAAATAATATTCAATTCAGTCACACGCTTCGAGGGGTTTCAGCGTTCGCACGTGCCTAAGTAAGTAATTAATTATAAAGCTTTATAAATGGAATTAGTAAGTCATATAAATGGAATTAGTAAGTCATATAAATGGCCCATTGTGACCGCATCCGCCCGTCATAAACAGGTGCTTGAACAGTAAATGACCGTTGACCATGAGAGACTAATTGGACAGTTTTAAAGATACATTACCGCGTGCGTACTGTGTGATTTGATAATACATGTATATTTAGATTAAAAACATATTCAAACTAATTAATCTATCAAAATAAATACAATACCGACGTGCCTTAAACGTGGGGTCGATGGCTCTCTTTATGTTGTGCTACGGATCGATAAGTATGCAGACAATCGAACGTCAGTTGCAGCTTTGCCTGAATTCTATTCAACGATGGGCAACTGACAATGGATTTCGATTTTCGAAATCCAAGACTGTGTGTGCACTTTTGTCAAAGAAGAGGTTTACATCCTGATCCGGAACTTATACTGGATGGTAGTCCCATTCCAGTTGTAGATGAAACGAAATTCTTGGGTTTGATATTTGATAAGAAATTATCATTTATCCCCCATATCAAAACCCTCAAGAAGAAATGTCTAAAAGCCCTCAACATATTGAGAGTCTTATCAAACACTGACTGGGGACCAGACCGTATAGTAAAATCCTGCTCAGATTATATCGAGCATTAATAAGATCTAAACTCGATTATGGGTGTATTGTGTATGGGTCAGCCCGCGAGTCTTATCTCAAAGAGCTTGACACCATACACAACCAAGGACTTAGAATCAGTTTAGGAGCATTCCGAACATCTCCAGTGCAGAGTTTATACGTCGAGGCGCACGAGCCCTCATTGCACGACAGACGTGATAAACTTGCACTGCAGTATGCTACAAAAAATTGCATCTTTGCCTCATCATATTTCATTTAACACCATATTTAGACCCTATCATAAACATCTATATTCACTGAAAACTAATGTTATTCCATCATTCGGTATTCGCAATCAACCCCTTTTGTCTCAGGCTGGTATCAGTGAAGACAGTATTACGAATACCCCTTTCTTTGAGACACCACCATGGGATATATCCCCTCCCAAGATCGATCTCGATCTTACAAAAAACAAAAAGAAAGATACTATTTCCACAGTGTTTCAGTCTCTCTTCAGAGAGTTAAGGTTTAAGTATAGTGGTTATGCTCCAATTTATACAGATGGTTCCAAAGATGGCGATCGGGTAGCTTCGGCTACTGTCACGCCATTTGACACCATTTCTGTTCGTCTTCCTCCTGCTACTCCCATATTTACTGCAGAACTCCGGGCCATCTTTCAGGCTTTGGAGTATATCAAATCCTCTTCATCCTTAAAACACATTATATTTACTGATTCTTTGTCCTCTTTGCAGGCAATAAACAATAAGCAGCTTGTACACCCTTTGGCATCATACGAGTTTAACGGCAAGGACACCGTCCTTTGCTGGCTCCCCATTCATGTTGATATTAAAGGGAATGACCAAGCAGACTTAGCTGCCAAGTCTGCTTTAGATCTTCCCATATCACAATTTCTTTTACCTTTTACCGATTTTAAATCGTCCATTAAATTATTTATATATGACCACTGGCAACGGTCTTGGGATCTTGCAGACACAAACAAACTTCATCACATTAAGCCTCTCTTAGGAGACTGGCCAAACTCCTACAGAACCAACAGGAGGGATACTTGGTCATAGTTTTTTTAACTCATATTTTCATTTTGAAGAGAGAGCCTCAACCAGAATGAGCTCGCTGTCAAGTTCCTTTGACAGTAAAACACATCTCGATTGAGTGCAAACATCTCAAGTATATTAGATCTAAATACTAAAGTTGCCAGTCATTACGTCAGCTATTTGCTCAACCGGAGCTCGATGATAAAGTGCTAACATTTTTAAAAAAGACAAACTTTTATTCTCAATTTTAATTGTTTATATTTAATCATGTATATCGTTTTAAATATTTATATATGTAAAAGATTTGTTATATTTATTTTTAATTAATATATTTTCTGTGATATTTGTTTTATTTACATATATAAATTCAATTATGTGATATCGTTTTAATTTGTCTCGTTAGATTCACCATATGTTTGGCGCAATATAGCCCGGTTGGAGCTGACGTGCCATTAAACAACATTTCATTTCATTTCATTACTAATCTGGAACACGAGCCTTGAAAAGCCCTTGAAGGTCCTTTCTACATGAACTATACGTATTTATTGAAATTTTATATAAATTATTATTAAATCTGTAATTTTTTGATTATTGTTCTTGCTAATTTTGTAGTGCTGAATAAATGAAAAATAACATGAAAGGGGATCACTTTCCAATGGTTATTTGTAGAATCTTGGGGCGTCACGATGGCTAAGTGGGTAAGACGCTGGCTCGCTAGCCTGGAGGTCGGGTGTTCGATCCCTGCATTGGCCGGGAAAGTTCATCCAGATTTTCCGGCGTGGTTCCCCCTTGTCAGTGATACAGGACGGAGGGCTTGACAAGGACAGCTGTCTAGTCGTTCGGATGGGACGAAAAACCAAGGTCCCGTGTACACATTGGCGTGCACATAAAAGATCCCTTGACAGTTGGAATTCGATATAAGAGTAGGCCGTAGTGCTGCTGTCCGGGTAAAATTTCCCTCATAGCACACTGTATGGCGTATGCCCGTCTTCATTAGCCCAGTTCGGAGCAGAACAGTAGGACGTTAAACCTCATTTCATTTTATTTGTAGAATCTTTTTTGTTTAAAACTGTTTGTTGTTTATATTTGTGCTGAAATAAATAACTATTTTGCTGATCGAATATTGACTTTTAGGTTTATCGATTTAAGTGCTTGACTTCGATTTTGATTCCAATTTTTTTTGTAGTTCTTATTAAAATTTTAACAACTTCTAAGTAAAGCCTATAGCGTTTGATTACACAAATATAAGCCTTTTGTCGTGCAAATCATGGGACTTAAATTTGAAAACACTAGTTTTTTTAACATGTATTTTTCTCCCCATCTCCTACACTTAAAGAAAATAAAGGACAGTGGTAAGAAATACTCCCTGTAAATTTGGGTTCAAATATTTAGCCTATGCAAAATCGGCATTTATACAAGAAAAATTTTGGATTCAATTTTTGCCATGTGGGTAGAAATATTGAATAGCTGTTCCAGTCATGATATTTTTTGGCAAAATAATTGTTGACGTTATAATTATAAAGATCGTCAATTTGTATTTTAAAAAATTTGAAAAAACCCAACAACTTTTTAATGAAAGAAATCTGACACCCTATACTGATGGTAATACTGTAAATCTAGGTAGATATTTAGTGTAGAAACCGATTTGACCGCAAGAATATCCGTAAGGGTAATCCTATCACGGGGAGTCAATGCACACCGCGTCTCACTCGGCAAACCTCGGTAGATTCCGTTGTACTGGAATCTGCTGAGGTTTGCCGAGTGACCGCGACTTTACCGGTGTGAGATTACTCCTACAACTGCGCATGCGCCAAACAGTAACCACACACCAGGCACCCACAGAGTCTACACCGTCACAGTTTCTATGACTCTTTAAATCTAGCCTAATTATTAATTTCTGGCACATTCATGATTACATACTTTAGAAGAGATAAAAGCATTTTTATTTTGAGCAAAGAAATTGATTACTAACAATAAACTACTTTCAATTCATTTTATTTATTAAAGATCAGTGGGATAAGTCCATACTGAGCACGTGATTTCACTGAAGTCAAGGTCATCCAGCGAATTCCTTAGTGAGGGCTATCTTGATTCGCAGTTAGTGGGTTAGATCTATTTGATAAGGCCAACTTCAAGTTTGGTCAAATGTCACAAGATGTAAACAGGGCTAGCGCTTATCCAAACCCAAACCCTAGCACTGGACCAAGCACGAATGCTTACCCTAATCCTAACCTACAATTTCGCCAACAATCACGTGCCCTAACCTTATTTTCATCGCAGCGACCTTGATAAAAATTAAACTGGCCTTAACAAATAGATTTAGCCCAGTTAGTGAAGGGTAAGCAGCCCTAGTGACGGTTGGGTTAGTAAGGACTAACTTGATCTCGACAGTCTTCCGGAAGGTGAATTGGGTGAATTTTCGGATTAGGAATATGGTTTTTTTATGAAATGGCTTTTCTCAAAAGTTCTTTTCAGTTTGTCAGATGTTTCAGCAGAATTCCACAGCTGTCTTTGTTGACCAACCAGCTTACACTAAATAAAAGGTATAGGCTATCGTTGTAGGCTACTGTTGAGCGTAGGCCCTCATCATAATTGAATATTTCAGGGTTCCATACATACAGCTCTATCTACTAGAAGTTCGAAAAAGTTCCTAAAAAAGTTTATTTATTAGGGCGTGTATTAAAGATACATTACGTAAGATTTATATAAAGAGCTAGCCATTTGTTGCTATAGTAGATATTAGCCTTTGAAGGTTTGGCAAGACGTGTTGTTCAAAGCTAAGCCTTGCTTCTCCATTTTTAAATTAAATCAAAATATGGCATAATACTAGATCTTTGACTCATCTGGAGAATATCTTTCTCTAGGGTTAGGGTTCGGGTTCGGGTTAGGTTTATATATGCATGTCAAACGAACAAATTGAAGCTGTAACAATGGTGGATTGTGGCTAAACCTATTCTGAAGGGTTAAGGTTAGAATTGGGTACAATTGTGGGTATAAACATTGACAGATATTCTCCAGATCGGTCAAGATCCATTAGTGTGCCAAAATATGACTGAACTGTCGTAATCTACTTAATATCGGAGATATCCTATAGCATTGAGAGTTGATTATGGTCTTGTCATATTAATAAATGTCTAATTAATAGTTTATATAACAATTCAGGCCTAAAAAAAGACCTGCAATAGGCAGATTTAGCTCTTGCATAATACATGTTTAAGGTAATTTCGTACCAGTATGGCTTGTACCAAGCACAATTAATACTTGCACACAGCTGCAAATATTATCGATGTATACATGTATGAGATATATTAATATATGTCAGTCTGTCTAAATTGTGGATTTTGATTAAAGGACAATATTGGTGCCAGTCATTATCACATATGTGATAAAACTGGTTAAGCATGTTCCAAATATTATTTTATCACAGAGATCATTGCTACGATAGATGCGTAATCAATGCTGGAACAACCGGAAGTGACGAACGCAAAAGGAAAACATGAGTTATCCCTCTATATAACTGACTGAAGTGACGAGTTATAACAGATACATTGGCGAATTTCTGCTCACTAATAATTCCTTCGAAGACCAAAAGTTGTTGTTCCTTATACCGTAAAGATTGCAACTATTTATTTTGGTGCTTGCCCTGATCTCCTGGGGCAGTGTCACTCCCACTTTTTTGTTAATATTTTGTCTGTAAATTTGGCAAAACATATCCTTCTTTGCGTCTTGTCATATTACAACCATTTCATATTTCATCCTCTTCATTTAAAGAAATACCATATCAATCAAAGCTGGAATGTGGATGTATATTGCAGCGTTAGTGATGATCTCATTAATAGATTTCAGAAGTTTGAAAATAAGATGTTAATTTGTCTGTCTATTTATTAATTTGTATAATCTGTTATTTAGAATTCATGGCGACTCACCGTTACCAACCACAGCATCGTTTTCTACGACGACTACAAGATTTGGATTAGATGAATTTTTTGATGATGAAGAGAACTGGCCAAAAGGAACAGTAAAAGTTGGTAGGTGGAGAAATTTTAATTGATGATCATGAGAGAGAGAGAGAAATGGGGTTTAACGTCCACTCGACACAAACTAGGACCTTACGGGAATAACATATGGTTCAATTTTATTTCAATAATTCGCTTGAGCGTAGGGGTCTTTAGCAGTGGGAGGAAACCGAAGTACCTGGAGAAAACACATGGGGTTGGATAGTCGACCCTACTCCTTGTCACGTGCAACTGGAGAAACGCGATACATCAATTCAACGATATATCGTGCCAGCACTAGTCCAAAGAGTGAAATACAGGTATCTTTTATCACTATTTGCAAATTATGAATAATTTACATTTCATTGCCCTGCAGTCTTATTTTTAAAACTTTATTTTACAGGACGACCATGGAGGGTAGATGAACTAAGAATAAAAAGTAATTCTGATCTTCATAAACTATGGTAATTATGAATTACACTGTTTGCTTTTACCCGTACATCCCATATGCTCCCGTTCCTTGTGCGTGGGACTTTGCATCGATGCAAAATAGTCAGGCCTGGAAATAACGGTTTTAGATGTACCTGACAAAATGTCAGGCACTGATGAAATAGTACACTGGTTCTCAACCTTTTTTTGGCAACGACACACCTTGGAACACACAAAAAAATAGTGGCACACCTGGCTAGATATATATGAAAAATATTTGAATTTTGCAAAATAAAAAACATGGCAAGTCATTGATGGCATACGGCTGGAGACACAGACAAGTCATAGAAACATAGAATGCCTCAAACTAAATAAAGAAAAACACAGCTAGAGACCAGTGAATTCTCAGTGGCTTTTCACATTTTTTTAGTGTACCGTTCACAATTTCGCGGCACACTGGTTGAGAATCACTTAGTGCTGGACATGTATTAATAATATCAATAAAAAGTACATATCAGTGCCAGACAAAATGACAGGCACCAGAGGTTAGTGTCTGACAAATTTGTGGCAGGTGCCTTATTTCAAGCTTGAAAATAGTGTCAAAGTTTTGATGACATGCATTCTTTGTGGACAAGGGTGGAGTCGGCCACTAAACCTTGTAGGTTTTCTGTGGATTCCTCTCACCATTAAGAAAGTCTGAAAAGGAAAGGACATGAGTTTATTGATTTGGGATGTCTCTTGTTTCCCTGGTTCCTTAACTAACTCTTACCAGACAAGTTAAAGATACATTATGGGAGATTAGATAAAGAGCTGGCAGTTCTCACTATAATAGTTTATAAACTAGATAATGTAAAGGGAATTTGGTGAAAATTTCCGGCAAATTGATCCACTGTGAACCAAGAATTTAAAGATTGAAATGTCAGCCTAGCCGCAATCATCATTACTAGTACGATAAAAACATAGTCTCAATTATCCATTTCATGATTAAATCATGAATGAAAGTTGAGCAGCAAATAGGATCCTAATCCAGTAAATATCGCAGGCTAACGATGACATCGAGAGTTGATTATGGTCTGGATAAGTTAATTAATGTCTAATTAATAATTTAGATAATATTTCAGGCCCAAAGAAAGACCTGAAAAAGGCAGATTTAGCTCTTGCATAATGTATGTTTAAACGACAATCGAGTGTCTCTCACTAACCCTACCACAGTGACTTAAAACTGACAATAAAATATTTTCAAGAGGTTTAATGTATTAACAGTTATATATTTTTCTGTGGTAGGTATGTTTTACTGAAGGAAAGAAATATGTTATTAACGATGGAAGAACATTATACACAGGAAAGTGAATTATTTCCCAGTCCAGAGAGAATATTTAAGGTAAATTATACATACAGTATATTGGTGAATATATTTTAAATCATACACAAAAACTCTGTGGTATTTTATAATCTGGCTGGGGGTGGATGGCTGAATAGTTAGTGCCTTATCACCTTGTATCATAAAGTCTGTCATTGAATCAACTGGCATGGGAAGGTCTTCCGGTTTCCTCCCACTGCTAAAGACCCCTACACTCAAGCGAATTATTGAATTAAATTTGAACTGTATTTTAGTCCCAAAATGACCTAGTTTGTGTCAAGTGGATGTTAAACACCATTTTTCTCTCTCTTTATAATCTGACAGTGATGACAAAATGTAATAGACATGAATGGAGAAAGTGGCAGCTGACCATTTGTGACCAGATGGGTTTAAGCCAGTACCTAACCCCATTTCTATTTCTCATTAACAACTGGGAGCGAGAGTGGCTCAGTGAGGAAGATAACTTGGAGGTCCACGTGTTTGATCCCGCTCTTGGCCGAGAAGGTTTATCAGAATTTTCCGGTGTGGTTCCCTCTTGTCATTGGTGTTGGACAGAGGGCCTGGCAAGGGACAATGTATATTGGTGTGCATGTAAAAGATCCCATAACAGTTGAAATTCAACATAAGAGTATCGTAGGCTGTAGTGTCACTGGCCGGGCAAAATTTTCTCAATAGAAAACTGTATAGCGTATGCCGGTCTTCATTAGCTCAGTCAGGGGGGTTGGATGGCCGAATAGTTAGCGTTAGCGTCTGCACGCTGTATCATAAGGTCAGTCATTTAATCAACTGCCGTGGTTTCGATTCCCCGGTTGTACGTGACGAGGAGTAGGGTGGCCTGTCCAACCTTGTGGGTTTTCTCCGGGTCATCCAGTTTCCTCCCACTGCTAAACACCCCTACGCGCAATCGATTTATTGATATAAAATTGAACCGGAATGACCTAGTTTGTGTCAAGTGGATGTTTAACTCCATCTCTCTCTCTCTCATAACAGTTGGAATTCAACATAAAAGTAGAGTAGGCTGTAGTGTCACTGGCAGGGCAAAATTTCCCTCATAGAACACTATATGGCATATACCCGTCTTCATTAGCCCAGTCAGAGCAGAACAGTAGGATGTTAAACCCCATTTTATTTCATTAATAACGGATGTCTTTAATCATATCATGTTGTGGTATTTTGTAGGTGGAGGAAAGTATGGAGAATATACTAGATGTTGTAAAAGAACGTGACATCGCTTTTAATTTATTAGAAACAGGAAAAACTGGACAACCAGAAAAAGTGACAATCAGAAATTTCTTAGGTTTAAAATATGAACGTACGGTTGAGGAACACAGCGTACCCAAATCTATGAATCGTTTATTTAACCTTCTACATCCGAAGTACGATAAATACTTTGTGCGATTTTTTAATCTGAACGAAGAAAAGAAACGCAAGGAACAGAGTAAAGAGAACCAACTCATTAACCAGTATAGAAAAAGAATGATTGAAAAATTTCCACATTTAAAAAATCACGAAGAATTTAGAAAACGTGAAAAGGTCAATATGTATTGATTGAGTGGATTTCATTGATCTAGTTCATGTAGCATTTCAGAAATATATTTCATATGAATTTATATACCAAAACTTGTTATTATATATGCAGAAATCTTTATGGTAGGCTAATGGGGTTTAATATCCACTCAATGCAAATTAGGTCATTTTGGGACTAACATGGTTCAATTTTATTTCAATAATTCATTGCGTGTAGGGTCTTTAACTGTGCAAGGACCCAGAATTAACTACCCTATTCCTTATCTCCTGCAAGCGGGGAATGGAAACCCCTTGACTCAATGACAGACCTTATGTTCCAATGCACACACGTTAAACCATTTGGCCATGCAACCCCCCTAGACTACTCCTTGTCTCGTACAAGCAGGGAATGGAAACCACTTGACTCAAAGACAGACCTTATGATCTAATGCGCACACGTTAAACCATTCGGCCATCCAACCCCCTAGGTTGAACAGAATAAAACAGATGCTGTCTGGCACAAAACTTGAAGATTATCCTTGAATACAAGTAATTAAAGCTGCTAGTATTCTGCACGTAAAGAACTATCTACTTTGAGTATAGATCTCTGCCATGAAAGGCGTCCATTAAAAAAATGCTTACATAATCTCTGCCATGAAAGGCGTCCATTAAACGCTTACATAATCTCTGCCATGAAAGGCGTCTATTAAAAAGACGCTTACATAATCTATAAGTGGGCATGGCTTATCAACTGGTACTACCTGGTAAATCAAAATGTCAACAGTAGATATCCGGGCTTGGATTTAATCAGTTAAAAAGAGGCCCATCAAAACAATTACCCAACAACTTATAAGTGGTACTGATTTGTTTAATCACCTGTACCGCAGTGGGCACCCAATGTTGGGAAATGTTTGAATTTGTCATACCTTGTAAATACTGAAGGAATTGAATCAATTATGGACTGATATTCCCTATGGAGATTCAGCTTTCACAATATTGTCGTTTACAAGGTATTCATAATCTTAAAATGCAACCAGGGGCTATAAAGATCTCCGTCTTGCACCAAAGTTTCTGCTGAAACTCTATGGTACTGACAAGGCTGGTATTTTACCATATACTGGTATTTTACTGTTTGTAAGGGGATCACGGTGGCTAAGTGGGTAAGACGCTGGCTCGCTAGCCTGGAGGTCGGGTTTTCGATCCCTGCATTGGCCGAGAAAGTTCATCCAGATTTTCCGGCGTGGTTCCCCCTTGTCAGTAGACAGCTGTCTAGTCGTTCGGATGGGACTGGAAACCGAGGTCCTGTGTACACATTGGCGTGCACGTAAAAGATCCCTTGACAGGTGGAATATGATATAAGAGTAGGCCGTAGTGCCGCTGTCCGGGCAAAATTTCCCTCATAGCACTGTATGTCGTATGCCCGTCTTCATTAGCCCAGTTCGTCTTCATTAGCCCAGTTCGGAACAGAATAGTCAGACGTTAAACCCCATTTCATTTCTACTGTTTGTAAATATTATTCAACCAATAATGAAAGGGGGTTTAGTCCTTTTACTTTTCTGCTCCAAACCGAGAAGGGCATTGACTAATGGGTTGATGCTATACCCCATGTCTGTATCAAGCCTTTAAGGTTAGACTTATCTCTATGGAAATATGTGTCCGACTTTAAAGAGTAGTTTGGAAGTGGTTTGGGAGAATTGGTCATGGGTGGTCTAATACATACAAGTCTTGGATATAAATATGAAGAATGTGGGCACCCTTTGGGACTAAATTTTATGAAATTGGTATTTGTTGCAAAAGTTCCTAATTGTGAACCCATTTCGATCTGTATAGCCATTTGTTGCTAGTCTTGGGTTTCATCCAACCATTTTACTTGATGGAAAATTTGTCTCCCTAATAAATTATCGTTTTTACGAGATAATCAGATCGAAGATGTTTTTACATGATATCTGCAATATTATTTTTATTGTAATGTTGAACACATATTATACAATGATATATAATTTATTGTATATTTCAACGCATCATATACAAAATTATGTACAATGTTATATAATTCATGATTATAAATATTTTAAGGTTTAACAGCAATCTAATTAAAATACAGATCTATATTTCGTTTCGTTTTTTATACTCTCGATGGTTTACACTACATGTAGATCTAACAAGTTATAATGGGAGTTCACTTTCTATGACGTTAGGTACCAAGCAAGCGACATTTGACCCAATTACGTCAGTCATTCGATTAACCAATTACCAACCGCCATGTATTTTTTATCTACTTTTGCTTTGTTTTGATTTCTATTGCCGCTAATGTCTACCCACAGTTCCGCGCAAAAAAGGTCAAACGATCGATTCGACAGACCATTTGATTGGCTGACCCCTCATTTCAAGCAGAACACGAGTTAAATAACAATGCTTGCCGATCCAAGTGTAGTAAAGACAAGTAAAATCGAAATTTTGAACTATAAAAACGAAACGAAATTGGATCTGTGTTTTAATCAGATTGGGTTTAACATCACATTCATTTTATCATCCTCTATTACAAAGACATACATGTATACTAGTATCAAGTTAGACATATATTATACTGTACCCACTCTTAATTATCATATAGAGCAGTGGTTCTCAACCTTTCTTTGCGAACGGCACACCTTGGAACACATGAAAAAAAAAATGGCAGCACACCTGGCTAAATATATATGAAAAATATTTGAATTTTGCAAAATAAAAACATGGCAAGTCATAGACGGCATAGGACTGTAGACACAGACTAGTCATAGAAACATAGAATGACTCAAACTAAATAAAGAAAAACACAGCTATGAATTTGCTTTATTACAGTGTTTCGAATTTCATCAGTCAAATAGCTGGCTTCTTTAATGAGAAATATTCTTAGTGTGCTGTTCAAAATTTCGCGGCACACTGGTTGAGAATCACTGATATAGAGTTATCTGCCCAGATAAGATAGTGGCCCCCCCTGGCATTAAGTAATAAACTTTAAAATAAAATAAATTAATTGCTGGCTGCATCCTAAACAAAATTTGCCTTTATATATACAATAGTTACATACTCGAATCATTTTTATCTTAATAGGGTCTCACTCCAACAGAGTAGTATGTGGACCCAAATACATTTTTATTTTAATAGGGTCTCGCTCCAACACAAGTAGTATGTGGACCCTAATACATTTTTATCTTAATAGGGTCTCACTCCAACACGAGTAGTATGTGGACCCTAATACATTTTTATCTTAATAGGGTCTCACTCCAACACGAGTAGTATGTGGACCCTAATACATTTTTATCTTAATAGGGTCTCGCTCCAACACAAGCAGTATGTGTGGACCCTAATACATTTTTATCTCAATAGGGTCTCACTCCATCAAGGGTAGTATATATTTGGACCCTAATAGTAATACATTTTTATCTTGAAAGGGTCTCGCTCCAACAGGGGTAGTATATATATCAGCATTACACTGAAACCCTAATGTAGTATTCAGATTACTACAATAAACAGATACTTCAACATTTCTGTCTTAATTAGATTTCACTAATTTCAAATCTACAAACCATAAAATCGGAAATCCATCTTTAAACACAATCTTATTTTTAATTCCATACAGAGAAGTCACTTCAGATTTTGTTTTTAGAATTTCAAAATATATTAGGCCCATCAAGCTGATAGTTATATCAAATACTTGTCTTTACTATACTAGAATCTGGCAGAGTTGTTGTTATTGACGTGTTCTGAATGATGTGAGGGATTAGGCAATGAAACAGTCTGTTACGGAGAGCTTTCGGCGTGTGGTGCACAGAACTGTGGGTAATCCACTAGAAACATTAATACTCATTGGTTAATCAAATTTTTTGACGTCAAAGGCCGCTCGTATGACCTCTGACGCGACCTCCCAAAACAACTAATCAGATCTTCATGTAGTGTAAGCCATCGAAAGTATAAAAAAACAACGAAACAAAATATAGATCTGTATTGTAATCAGATTGATAATTACGGGAACTCCAGAAGCAACCTGTTCACATTAACTGCATTATTTTACTCTTCTTCTCGAGTGAAAATTTCAACTGATATTGCCTATGCTTGACTACACTTAAATACACCACAACTTTTTCCATAATGTTTGTTTTAAATCGATTTTCACTGGATTTGAATCTCATTTGATGATAATCGAGGCTAGGACTAAAATTCAAATGCTAGTAGAGATAATCAGATCGAAGATGTTTTTACATGATATCCGCAATATTATTTTTATTGTAATGTTTAACACATATTATACAATGATATATAATTTATTGTATATTTCAACGCATCATATACAAAATTATGTACAATGTTATATAATTCATGATTATAAATATTTTAAGGTTTAACAGCAATCTAATTAAAATACAGATCTATATTTCGTTTCGTTTTTTATACTCTCGATGGTTTACACTACATGTAGATCTAACAAGTTATAATGGGAGTTCACGTTCTATGACGTCAGGTACCAAGCAAGCGACATTTGACCCAATTACGTCAGTCATTCGATTAACCAATTAGCGACCGCCATGTATTTTTTATCTACTTTTGCTTTGTTTTGATTTCTATTGCCGCTAATGTCTACCCACAGTTCCGCGCAAAAAAGGTCAAACGATCGATTCGACAGACCATTGGATTGGCTGACCCCTCATTTCAAGCAGAACACAAGTTAAATAACAACGCTTGCCGATCCAAGTTTAGTAAAGACAAGTAAAATCGAAATTTTGAACTATAAAAACGAAATGAAATTGGATCTGTGTTTTAATCAGATTGGGTTTAACACCACATTCATTTTATCATCCTCTATTACAAAGACATACATGTATACTAGTATCAAGTTAGACATATATTATACTGTACCCACTCTTAATTATCATATAGAGCAGTGGTTCTCAACCTTTCTTTGCGAACGGCACACCTTGGAACACATGAAAAAAAAAATGGCAGCACACCTGGCTAAATATATATGAAAAATATTTGAATTTTGCAAAATAAAAACATGGCAAGTCATAGACGGCATAGGACTGTAGACACAGACTAGTCATAGAAACATAGAATGACTCAAACTAAATAAAGAAAAACACAGCTATGAATTTGCTTTATTGCAGTGTTTCGAATTTCATCAGTCAAATAGCTGGCTTCTTTAATGAGAAATATTCTTAGTGTGCTGTTCAAAATTTCGCGGCACACTGGTTGAGAATCACTGATATAGAGTTATCTGCCCAGATAAGATAGTGGCCCCCCCTGGCATTAAGTAATAAACTTTAAAATAAAATAAATTAATTGCTGGCTGCATCCTAAACAAAATTTGCCTTTATATATACAATAGTTACATACTCTAATCATTTTTATCTTAATAGGGTCTCACTCCAACAGAGTAGTATGTGGACCCTAATACATTTTTATCTTAATAGGGTCTCGCTCCAACACAAGTAGTATGTGGACCCTAATACATTTTTATCTTAATAGGGTCTCACTCCAACACGAGTTGTATGTGGACCCTAATACATTTTTATCTTAATAGGGTCTCACTCCAACACGAGTAGTATGTGGACCCTAATACATTTTTATCTTAATAGGGTCTCACTCCAACACGAGTAGTATGTGGACCCTAATACATTTTTATCTTAATAGGGTCTCGCTCCAACACAAGCAGTATGTGGACCCTAATACATTTTTATCTCAATAGGGTCTCACTCCATCAAGGGTAGTATATATTTGGACCCTAATAGTAATACATTTTTATCTTGATAGGGTCTCGCTCCAACAGGGGTAGTATATATATCAGCATTACACTGAAACCCTAATGTAGTATTCAGATTACTACAATAAACAGATACTTCAACATTTCTGTCTTAATTAGATTTCACTAATTTCAAATCTACAAACCATAAAATCGGAAATCCATCTTTAAACACAATCTTATTTTTAATCCCATACAGAGAAGTCACTTCAGATTTTTTTTTTAGAATTTCAAAATATATTAGGCCCATCAAGCTGATAGTTATATCAAATACTTGTCTTTACTATACTAGAATCTGGCAGAGTTGTTGTTATTGACGTGTTCTGAATGATGTGAGGGATTAGGCAATGAAACAGTCTGTTACGGAGAGCTTTCGGCGTGTGGTGCACAGAACTGTGGGTAATCCACTAGAAACATTAATACTCATTGGTTAATCAAATTTTTTGACGTCAAAGGCAGCTCGTATGACCTCTGACGCGACCTCCCAAAACAACTAATCAGATCTTCATGTAGTGTAGGCCATCGAAAGTATAAAAAAACAAAACGAAACAAAATATAGATCTGTATTGTAATCAGATTGATAATTACGGGAACTCCAGAAGCAACCTGTTCACATTAACTGCATAATTTTACTGTTCTTCTCGAGTGAAAATTTCAACTGATATTGTCTATGCTTGACTACATTTAAATACACCACAACTTTTTCCATAATGTTTTTTTTAAATCGAATAGAAATATACCGAAGGATAGATATTTTATTCCACCTGCCACTCTTTAAAGAAGTCGTTTCCCTTATCATCAACCACAATGAAAGCTGGGAAATTTTCTACATCAACTTTCCAAATGGCTTCCATACCTGTAACAACAAAATTTTAAAATAATAATTACATAAATACATCAAAGCATTGACAATTCAATTTTAGGACTTCTATTTCAATATTTTGTACATCAGAGATTAGCAAGATATATTCAAAAATTGGATCCTTTGGTGTCTAATTAAAGCGGATATTACTAATTCACATTTAAAATACAGATGTGACGTCATCCTTTGATGTTGGCACCATTATTTCAAATAATGGTATGGCAATGTACCAACCGTACATTATACTAGTTGAAATATTGGAACCGCATGACGTATTTCATTGAAATTGTGTAATATATAGATGTAGCCCTTGTGCTGACGCACTCGTGCAATATCAATATATTACTTAATGTCTCGCACTCGACCATTAAACTACACATAAATAGTACAAGTAATTACCTAATTCTGGATATTCTAAAACTTCTACATTTTTAATACAATTCTGAGCTAATATGGCCGCTGGACCTCCAATAGAACCTAAATAAAATCCTCCATGTTCTTTACAAGCCTTGGTAACCTAGACAACATAATTAATAACAAACATATCATATGTTAAAAAAAACAAAACTGACACAGTTATATGGGACAACAATCACTGGTTTATTATACACAAGCACAACGTTTCGATATGTATTCTCTTATCGTTATCAAGCACAATGACATTTAGTAAACTTGACGGTCAAGTTTACTAAATGTCATTGTGCTTGATAACGATAAGAGAATACTTATTGAAACGTTGTGCTTGTGTATAATAAACCAGTGATTGTTGTCCTATATAACTGTGTCAGTTTTGTTATGTTTCCAATTGCTAAATGCCACTTAAGGATTATATCATATGTTACACATTTCATCTTGACTTATAAGATTAAACATTCATTGAGTGCAACAAAGGGTATAGTGGAATAGAACGGAATGATATCAGGGGGGGATACCTAGGATGACATGGAGAGAGAGAAAGAAATGGGGTTTAACGTCCACACGACACAAACTAGGTCATTTCGGAACTAACATATGGTTTAATTTTATTTACATAATTCGCTTGAGCATAGGGGTCTTTAGCAGTGGGAGGAAACCGGAGGCCCCGGAGAAAACCGGAGGCCCCGGAGAAAACCCACAAGGTTGGAAGGATGACATGGATTAAGCCATGGAAAACTTGATATTTTCTGAAAAATGGAAATTACACACTTAGAGACTTTTATTAAGTATTATAGTTAACATGTGAGTCTTATATCAAAATATTCAACATCCTACCTGTTTACTACGATTTCCTTTAGCTAACATAATCTTACTGCCACCGGCTGCCTGGAATTCTCCTACATACGAATCCATTCTACCTGCTGTAGTTGGTCCAAATGATCCACTAGCATACCCCTAATAAGAAACATTAAAAATTATTTAATAAAAATATTCTTTAAATTTTAACAGCCAAGGGATCATAACGACAAGGTGCACACACCTCTCCATTTTTTTTATGCTTTCCTAACAACGACAGCCAGACACATTTTTCTTCATCAGCCTCTGTGGTAATTGACTGACAGGTTTGCTTCCAAAGTAGTGATATCACAGACGAGAATTAGGAGAAATAAAAAATTGATCCTGTATATTAGAATATGATTTGTAATCTTCCATTGTGGGGAGTTGGGTGGCCAAATGGTTAACACGTGCGCATTGGATCAGAAGGTCTGTCAGTTGAGTCAAGTGGTGTGGTTTCAATTCCTCGCTTGTACATAAAAAGGAGTAGGGTTGCCTGTCCAACCTCGTGGGGTTTCACTGGGTCCTCCTTTTTCCTCCCACTGCTAAATACCCCGACGCGCAAGTGAATTATTGAAATAGGATTGAAACATATGTTAGTCCCAAAATGACCACTTAGTTTATGTCTAGTGGACATTAAACCCCATTTCTATCTCTCTTTTTCCATTTGTGGCCTGTAGCTGTGGAGTGATTGAGTTGGAATTACTTCCCTTTATTTAGAAACCATGATGGCAGCAACATAACAAACAACTTTTACTTACCTCTGGTGTTTTAGCTGGTCCAGCATAATACACTGGATGATCTTTCATATATTGTGGCATTGGTTCACCATTGTCCAGTCTCTCCTTCAATTTAGCATGAGCTATATCTCTAGCTACGACTAATGTCCCTGTTAAACTCAATCTTGTTTTAATAGGATACTGGTTTAACTGTTTTAATACTTGGTCCATTGGTTCATTTAAATTTACCTACAGTAGAAATATATCCAATATACATCACTAAGTTAAAGTAGCAAAGTCTCTAACTCAATATCATCCAAAGTCTTTGACAGGCTAGACATATTCCACAAGTCATGTCAAACGGTGACGCCATATTCTTATCTGGAGAGCATGCGTAATAAATACTATCGGGATCTTTTACGTGCATGCCAATGTATACATGGGACCTCGTTTTTTTGTTCCATCCGATCGACTAGACAGCTGTCCTTGTCATCCAGTATTAACACAGATATGATGGTGAATTGAAACATTATCAACAGTCAGTATCAACTGCAGACAATTATAGGATATAATCAACGCAAGCCATTGTCGCCTATGAATTTCGCTGAAATCATTTTGATGGGCCTCTTTTTAATCGATTAAATCCAATCCAGGAGATGATCCCGATATTTTGTTTTCTTAATTAAAATTTTAAAAAATCTATTTGAGTAGATGTTAGCGTGGATTAAGTCATGAACAATTATACATTGTCCGAAAAATTCAAATAACAATCAGTGACTATAAGCCAACCAACATGTTCTATCTCTACACCATTATGGGGGGGGGGGGGAAGGCCGAATGGTTATAGCGTGCGTGTTCTATCATAAGATCCGTCATTGAGTCAACTGCCGTGGTTTCGATTCCACGGCTGTACATGGCAAGGAGTCGGGTCACCTGTCCAACCTCGTGGGTTTTTTTCCTCGGGTCCTCCAGTTTTCTTCCATTGCTAAAGACCCCTACGCGCAAGCGAATTATTGAAATAAAAGTGAACCATATGTTGTTTCCGGAATGACCTAGTTTGTGTCGAGTGTATGTTAAACCCCACTTCTCTCGCTTTCTTTATTGCAAGAAATATAATAACTGCCTGGTTCCCCAATTTGTGCCCGGGAGCCACTGTTGCTCGGTGAGTATAAGACTACCTATTACTCCATGTTGGAATTAGAAATATTAGTAATAATTGATACCTGGATGACATTGCCACCAAGATCTTTATCTTCAACTTCAGGTAAATACTGACCAGGATTCGTCTCTAACTGTTCTAAAAATACACCTTCTTCTGTTATCTTACCATATGCCTGAAATAGTATAATTATAGATACATGTACACAAAAACATTTCAAGTATGATTTTACTCTCAAATACCCTCTACATGACATTTATAATTTTAATCAATTATTCAAAATAATGTTATATATAATGGAAGACTTCAGTCCCATCAGTTCTGCTTGTGGTAATAGAAGACTTCAGCCCCATCAGTTCTGCTTGTGGTAATAGAAGACTTCAGTCCCATTATCTCAGCTTCTGGTAATGGAAGACTACAGTCCCATTATCTCAGCTTGTGGTAATGGAAGACTTTAGTGTCAGTCCCACCACATTATAATCATAACTGTCTATCAGCAGACATTATAAACATACCTGTCTATCAGCCGAACAAGAGACACCGATACCAACAGGACAGGAAGCTCCATGTCTCGGTAATCTAACAACACGTACATCATGACAGAAATATTTACCACCAAACTGAGCACCAATTCCCATTGTTTGTGTTAATTTATGGATCTCAGCTTCCAGATCTGGATCACGGAAAGCTTGACCATGTTCATTACCTGGTAATATATACATATATCATCCAATTAACGTTATATAAGCTTTTGATTTCATATTAAAGATATCATCATTAAATCACACTTAAAGATACACTGCACCATAAATAAGATCATCTATTACCCTAAAATCAGGAATAGTGGCTATCCGTAACAAATCATGTTATTGTTAAGTTTGCTTTTTTACTTGTAAACTAAAGTGGCGTTTACACGATACAACCAATCCATACAATCGTTCAACCCTGGACGTAAATGTGTAACCATGAGCCTGTTAATGTGTAACCAATGTACTGTGCAACAATGGGACCATAAATGTGTAACCATGTGATGGTAACAGAAATGTGTAACCATGGCAACATAAATGTGTAACCATGGTAACATACATGTGTAACCGTGGTAACATAAATGTGTAACCATGGTAACATAAATGTGTAACCATGGTAACAAATGTGTAACCATGGCAACATAAATATGTAACCAATGTACTGTGCAACCATGGGATGTAAATGTGTAACCATGAGACTGTGTAACCATGGGACAGTGTAACCATGGGACTGTAACCGTGTAATCATGCATGGACTGTATAATCAATGGATTGTCTAACCTAGGATTGTTTAACCATAGTACAGAAAAAGTGTCAGCATAGAACTGTGTAACCAATGGATTGTCTAACCTTGGGACTATAATCATAAATGTAGTCTTGATTATATTGTAATTATACCGTTAATAAGTAGATGTCCTACCTGAAGTAGGTAGATTATCTAAATATTTAGTGGAAGCTAATTTAACAGTTTTTAGATTAAACTCTGCTGATGTTCCACCAACAACGAAAGCTAAATGGTATGGGGGACATGCCGCTGTACCCAACGTCTGAAAATACAAACAACATTCTTAATATAATATATAATAACAGGCATTATGCAAGAGTTAAATCTGCCTATAGCAGGTCTTTCTTTAGGTATTAAATGTTATATAAATTATTAATAAGACATTAATTAACCTATCTAGACCATTATTAACTCTTGATGCCATCGGATGGCTCTGATATTAAGTTAATTCAAATATGTTTTGCGGTTGATGATTTACCATAAAAATGGATAATCGAGACTTTGTTTATTATCATAACAATGGTAGCAATGACAATCGAGGCTACACTGTCATTGTATTGCCAATAACAAGACTCAGAATGAAATAATTGACTGAAAATTTCAGTATATTCACTTTTCATTATCAATTTTTACTATTATAGTAAGAACTGCCAGCTCTTTATCTAATCATACCTAATTAATTGAATGTCTCTATACTATCTGTAGCAGTTTCAATGTCATTAGTAATTTGACTGGAAACACAAAGGACACAATTCTAATGAATACAATTACTGTTTATTACTGAGCGATGTTTTTACTTGTAACGACTAACGGTAGATAATCCTAGTCTATTGAATACAATTACTTGTTACTTATACTGAGCAATGTTTCTACTAGTAAAGACTACAGGTAGATAATCCTAGTATATGGAATACTGTTTATTACTGAGCGATGTTTCTACTTGATAAAGACTACCAGTGGATAATCCTAGTCTATTGAATAACATTATTGTTTATTACTGAGCGATGTTTCTACTTGATAAAGACTACCAGTGGATAATCCTAGTCTATTGAATAACATTACCGTTTATTACTGAGTGATGTTTCTAATTGATAAAGACTACTGGTCTATTAGTAATAAACAGTATTTATATTCCACAGAATTGCTTCCTCCATAAATGTCACATGTCACAAATCTTTCCACACATATGGTTGACGTATAGTGTTGATGCAATCTGATTAAAATACAGATCTATATTTCGTTTTGTTTTTTTTATATTTTCGATAGCCCCTACTACACGAAGATCTGACTGGGTGTAGTGGACGGTCGCGTCAGAGGTCATAGAAGCGACTTTTGACCCTATGACATCAGACATTTGATTAACCAATCAGCATTGATGTTTCTAGTGGGTTACCCAAAAACTCGCTGTAACAGACCATTTCATTGGCTAATCCCTCACATCAACCAGAACACAGGTTATACAACAACTCTTCCAGACCCTAGTGTAGTAAAGACAGGTAAAACAAAATTTTTAACTATAAAAAAAAGAAACGAAACAGGATCTGTGTTTTAATCACATTGGTGTTGATGAGACCTTAAACCCTATACCATGCTATTTCACAATAGGAAGTGTTATCAAAGGTTCTGAATGAAAAAACCCTAATTAGCCCCATCCTCTTGTTGTAATCAGTCTACTATGTTCCAACTTACCTTGATTTTTTCGTTAACAAAAGCGAGAAGTTTTTCAGGATTTAAAACAGCTTTAGTTTTTTGAAAAAGAAATGTTTTATTGGCGGAACCTCCACCTTTAGCTATGAAGAGGAAGTCATATTGACTGGAATTAGTGGCGTATATTTCTATCTGAGCAGGTAAATTAGTCTTGGTATTGACTTCCTGATACATATCCAACGGGGCTACCTGAAAAATACAATAATCACATAATTATATAAAATCCTATACTGGACATTTATAATCTACTATTACTATAATCTACTATTACTATAATCTACTATTACTATAATCTACTACTATTACTATAATCTACTATTACTATAATCTATTATTACTATATAATCTACTATTACTATATAATCTACTATTACTATAATCTACTATTACTATATAATCTACTATTACTATAATCTACTATTACTATAATCTACTATTACTATATAATCTACTATTACTATATAATCTACTATTACTATAATCTACTATTACTATAATCTACTATTACTATAATCTACTATTACTATAATGCAGAAAAGAAGGACATTAAAGGTCACCTGAAAAGCATCAATTTTTTTTTAAATAATACAAGTAATTATGTCAACATATCCTTTCCATAAGTATAACCCTAGCCCGAACGTCAATATTACCTGCAAAAGGTAAATTTCAACATTAGTAATTTCCGCCGTTCTCCGTCGGTAGTCGGAAATTTCCGTCAATAAGCAATCCGTGACGTCATTTTAGTCCTTCTGCACATAGAAATATAGACTAGAATATGAGCTGAAGGACTAAAATGACGTCACATTTACGGAAAGTTACGACTACCCACGGAGAATGGCAGAAATTGCTAACGTTGAAATTTACCTGTTGCAGGTAATATTGACATTCGGGTTCGTGTTATACTTATGGAAAGGATATGTTGACATAATTACCTGCTTTATTTAAAAAATTTATGAACCTTTTCCGGTGACCTTTAAACCCTACTTCATTCATTCATTCTTACAATAGATGAAAGGGGGTTTAACATCCTATTTGTACATGGGACCTCAGTTTTCTTCCCAGCAGAACGACGAAACGTTGAACATTTCCTGGCCTTCGTCCCTCGTTTACTGGTGTGGGTATTGTGTATAGTACGTTTGAGTACAATAATTATACTAGTGTAGGTAATATATATTGTGTATAATACGTTTGAGTATAATAATTATCATAGTCTATCATAGTCTATATTAATCCTATCATAGTCTATGCTAATCATACCACAGTCTAAAGTAATCGTATCATAGTCTAAAGTAATCGTATCACAGTCTATAGTATAATTACCTGTGAATATCTTAAGTTTTTTCTAGTGTAGGTATTGTATATACCCCTTGATATCGCTTCTTCATCCTGACCTTCTGTCCATACATATTGACCTTTTTTACCTGTTAATTAATAAAATAAACAACTATAAACTTTATTTTTGTTTGGGTCGTGGTTTCGATCTCAAGTTTGTATGTGACATGTGAGGAGGGTTGCATGCCTAACCTGGTGGGATCCTCCCATTTCAAGCAAATTATTGAAATAAAATTGTACCATCGGTTAGTCCAGAAATGACCTGGTCTGCAAACAGTGGACTGCAAACAGTGTCATATATATAAGGACAAAGACCAATGATCAATTAGATGGGTTTTACTATCCAATGGTCCAATATATATTAAGGGGGGGGGATGTGCCTCATAAACCAGAAGCAGTAGGGCCACCTAGCCTATGTTACTTCCCGGTCCGAGCTACCCTATACACCAAATTTCAGGCTCGGGAGAGTCCTAGTGTAGCCCCCTGAACAGACAAACAGACAAACAACAGTCACAAATACTAGTATAGATAGCACACTGCATGGCATATTCCCATCTTCCTAAACACATTCACTGCAGAAAAGAGGGATCCTAAACCTGATTTCATTTCATTTTGCTTACCCATACAAATAGCTGTTCCTGTATCCTGGCAACCAGGTAGAACCATACCAGCAGCTACGTTTGCATTCTTCAATAATTCTAATGCCACAAATTTGTCATTACTAGAAGCAGATGGATCATCTAGAATTTTTGCCAGTTGCTGAAAAATATGACAGCAAGAGCAACATTTTATTTATTAAAGTCTCTGATAGCCAGTTTAGGTAATTTCCATCTCTTGCGAAGTACGATATTGCGAAAGTTGAGTTTCCAAAAGCAGTATCAGTCCAAAAGGGGGTTCATTTCTTTTCAGTATTTACAAAGATATGATGATTTGAAAACTATACAAGATTCAGCAGACATTATAAACAAGCCAGTGCCAACAATGAGTGTTGGGTAAAATCTTTTGAAGGCACAGACTGTTTAAAATCCTAACCAAGAGATTATTAACCATTGATATATAGTGATAATAGATTCTTCCTGAAGGGAAGCAGGGTGGAGTAATTAAAAGTTTCCTGGAGGAAGCCGGGTGGAGTAATTAAAGTTTCCTGGAGGGAAGCAGGGTGGATTATTTAAAGTATCCTGAAGGGAAGCATGGTGGATTAATCAAAGTTTCCTGGAGACAAGTAGGGTGGAGTAATTAAAGTTTCCTAGAGGAACCAGGGTGGAGTAATTAATGTTTACTTGAAGGGAATCAGGGTGGAGTAATTAAAGTTTACCTGAAGGTGAAAATGGGGATTAAATAATATTTACCTGCAGGTGAGCTGGGCGTAGTAAATGAGCGATATCAACCATAGCATGCTCTGCCAGTAATGTTAACGCATCCGGAGCAACTTTTAAAACTTTCTTACCATTTACATCAAACGTTGACACAAAATCTCCTGAAAAAATATTGATGTACATGTATATATGAACATAATCCATTTTAGGAGAAGATAATGTTATAAATATGTTTATGATGCTTCTAGAGATGAGCGTGTGTTCTGACATCAAATAAACAAGGGTTGTTAGTCCAAATAGGGAGTCACAGTGGCTCAGTGAGTAAGGCACTTGCTCACACTTTTAAAAGACTTTAATGGACTCTACAGAGAGAGAGAGAGAGAGAGACAGAGAGAGAGAGAGATATCCACTTGACACAAACTAGGTCATTTTGGGACTAACACATGGTTCAATTAAATTTTTATTTCAATAATACGCTTGTGCGTAGGGGTCTTTAGCAGTGGAAGGAACCCGATGGACCCAGAGAAAACCCACGAGGTTGGACAGGTGACCCTACTCCTTGTCACGTACAACCAGGGAATCAAAACCACGGCAGTTGACTCAATAACAGACCTTTGATACAGCACACACGTGTTAACCATTCGGCCAAACAGTGACCAGTGTCATGCAATTGACAGGGTATTCGTATCACTTCTAGAACACCTAATACCGTTTCTTATTTGAGTTCAAATAGCCAACCAGGTTTGGTTGATATCTTTGTATTTATTGATTTTGAAGGAATGAATGAATAAAATGGGGTTTAAGGTCCTACTTTTCTGCACAACCCAAATTAATGAGAGAGAGGGACAAACACGGTTTAATGTCCACTTGACTCAAACAAGGTCATTTTGGGACTAACATATGGTTCAATTCAGTAAGTTACCTGAGAGTTTTTTCCAGGGTACATCTGGTGTTTTGGTCTGTTGTAAGATATCTTGATAATAAAATGGCTTCACATCAGCGGTGGAGGAAGCAAACACCACAGGAACAAGATGGCGGTTACATGTCTGGCTTAAAATACCCAAACATCTCGTTCGGGCAGTTGACAACATTTCTGAAATAAATTTAGAACTCTTATGAAATTAATGTGCTTATTGTCAGTGATTCAGCAATGAAATTTGCCTAAGGTTGATGTGAACAGACTTTGTTACTACACTGAACTGGGACTTCACCATTTACAGAGCTGTGTTATTGCGAGATGCCTATAAATACTTAATCAGTGAAGGTTTTAATTATATCACTGTTCAGATGATCCCTGATTTTCAGTTTAATAAGGGCACTATCTCACAACGGTCAGATTGCATTAAGTTCAAAGTTGCCCTTATAAATATAAACCATCACACCACAGACCTGTGGCATGCTGTGTTCTGAAATGTGGCTATAACTCCAGACGATTTTGTGCGTAATTTTCGTATCTGGGGATGGAAATTGACTATGAAATACAGTTTTAGCTAGTGGTAGCAACAAACAGGACCCCTATTAAGGCAGACTCTGAGGTACTAACTAGGTAGTTTCTACTGGCAATAGCGGCTACGGTAGCCTATATTCTACTTTTTTGACATATTAACTTCGCATATCTGGAAATTCTGGCATTGTGTTGCCATGTCTATACAAAATAACGGACCGAGCACTGAAACTCAAACCTAACGAAGATCAATCATGAAGAACTTCAAAGTTCAAGCAGACAAGACCGTGAAGACGGAAACTAAAATTGAATTTACAAGATGAATGGCCTGGAGATTAATCTGATGGTGTATGACCGTATGTCAAGTTTCGTTTGCATTTGGAATTAATTTTATTGTCAGGAGACGGTGGAGGGTTCTTGATGTACTGAGTATAATAGAAAACAAACCGAAACACTGAACTAAACTTCAACTTCAGTCGACTGCTTAAACGACCTTGAGACTTCCTTGAAGGTGAAGGACGAGGATGGAAATACAACTCTTTCGAAATAAATAAGGGATTAGACCACAGAGAACAGTAATGTTTAAGTCACATTTATTACACAGCTTAATATGCAATTAAGGACCTGAGTTGGTTTAAAGGGCACATGGTTTCCTGTGAACACTTGTCTATAATACTCGTTAATAAAAAATAATGCTTTCCCCTTTTTATTCCAGAATGATATTTCTGGTCAAATCGGTGACAATATTACCATTATACGTGCCATAACATTTATTCGGTAACACAGGGTACAATTTTATAGATACACAATTATTGTGTATCCATAAAATTGTACCCTGTGTTTAATGTGTCCACTTACTAAATGCCAATCAAAGAAGATTCATTCAGTACAATTATTAAATATACTTCATCTTAAATTGCCCTTTTCCCCCTTTTATTATGCAATTCAACAAGGTTTAGATTCGAATCGGGGTATAGTATATAACCCAAATATATGTAGTAAATATAACCGGACAGAATAAAATAATATCACAAAAAAAACAACATTTGTTAGCCACGTAAATTTCAATCACAGGACAAATATCTATCACAGGCTTAAAAGTAAAAAAGAGAAGTGTGCCAAGTCGTCCGGTTACTATTAAAGCCGAAGACCACACCGTTAAATGAAGCTATAGACGGAAAGACATTCTTTAGGCAAAATTCGTCATCTTGCTTTGCGTATACTAATGTGTTGGAAAATTGGACGAAATATGTTTAATTAGCGTCTTACTTTTCCGAACAAACCGGACTAATGTAGTCGGGCATTGCCAACAATATACTCACCGAGGCACCGTTTTGCACCAAGACGTATAATCACATTCATTTCTTTAAAATATGGAAGTGTAAAATATTATCTTAAATATGCATTATGTAAAAACAAAATTTACCTAGTGAGTGTCTTTATTTTGGTTTCAAATGTTATATAAATTAATATTTAGACGTTTATTCACGTGACTCGCTAGACCATGATTTAAATGGAGTAAAAAACCTGTGAGATTTAAAAATTTAAATATAAAATGGATAATCGAGACTTAACCTCGATTGTCAAATAGGCCTACCATTGCTACGAAAATAAACAATTTACGTAACATCTTCAAACAGTCATAACTTCGCTCAGAATAAAGTAATTTGAATGGAATGTTCAGTATAATTTTTCATTATCTATTTTTGGATAACTCTTTATCTAAATCTTAGATAATGCATCTTTAACACAAAACTGGTCGGGGATTGATTAAAACAATTTAAAGATGCATTATGGGAGATTAGATAAAAAGATGGCTGTTCTCACTATAATAGTTAAAAACTAAATAATGTAAAGGCAATTTGCTTAAAACTTCATTCAAACTGATCCACTATGAACCCAGAATTTAGCGATTGAATTTTCGGCCTAGCCACGATCATCATTACTAAAGTCGGTACGATAAAAAAACATAGTCCCGATTATCCACTTTTAGATTAAATAATGAATGGAAGTTGAGCAGCAAATCGGATCCTAATCAGGCTAGCGATGACATCGAGAGTTGATTATGGTCTGGATAGGTTAATTAATGTCTAATTAATAATTTAGATAACATTTCAGGCCTAAAGAAAGAACTGCAATAGGCAGATTTAGCTCTTGCATAAAGTATGTTAAAAGCTGTATTACGCTTAGATTTTTAAACAAACATAAACATCCACGATAGCCCCCGCCCAGCACGAACAACTTTTTTTTAACGGCAACTCGCGAGCTCCTCAAAAAATTGACGTCACGTTCCAAATGGAATGTGGGAAAAGTAAAATCCCGTCTTAAAAAGACAAAAGAAATCAGGTTTATTTGTTTCCATAACAACGATAGTATTACAGTTTTTACAGAAACAATGACGAGTTTTTGTCAGTTATAAGTCTGTCAACATCTCCTATCTTTTAGTCTTAATGAAAAATAAACAACACTGTTTTCATCTACTAAGATTCTGAGTTGATGTGGAGCTTCTCTATATCCGTTAATCCGATAATCCGCTAACACACAGTAACACCATGGTAACACAAACATGCGATCAAGATATTTGGCGGGAAGACAGATTTATAACAAACCTTTTAACTGTGATATTCACATATCTAGCGGTTTATCACACTCTTTGTATTTTAACAGCAGATTCTTCATAAATCTTAATTTCATAAAATATTTGTAAACAGGCCATATCAATAAGCTTATAGATAACATATTATAACAGAAATAAACGAATGGTACCGGATGATCTGGACATAATATCGATAACTCAACCTGTATTTTTCAGTTTGTTTTGCGACTTTAAAAAGAGAAGAAATGGTGCGAGTTCGTTCGGTGGGTGGAGGTTTTTATGGCTATTTTATGGATTCCATCTCCGACATACTCTACTTGTATTAACATTTGTTGTCCCATCCCAACGACCATGCACATCTTTACTGTCCGAAAACAAATCCATTTGACATCTAAATAGTGTTAAAATTGACTACTCTGGCGCAGTTTACATAGGTGTTTATTGGGCTATGCCAGCGTTTGTTTGGCATGAAAACTCAGCACTACTAGGAAGATAACTCACCACTTTTGTTACGATAATATTTAAATTATAATTCAAATTCTATCATCACATCAACATCAAAACTTAAATTCTATCAGTAACAAGGGTACAACCAACCAAAAGCGTCAGGAGTCATCGCTACCTTACTTTTTCAGGGCACGACACCATTTTTTTCAGAGCGCTACACCATTTTTTTTTTCAGAGCACCACGCCATTTTTTTTTCAGAGCACTACTCCATTTTTTCAGAGCACTACTCCATTTTTTCAGAGCACTACACCATCAGGAATATTAGCCATGTTTCGTTTCACTTTATTTTCATTTCGTTTTAAGTGGGCGGAAAACGATTTTACAGTAATCATTGGAAAAAAAGCGACCAAAAAAGACAAAACAAAAACCCAAAAAAACAATCAACTATTTAATAGACTGTGGGTCTGTGCAGTGTGACACGTGAAGCCTCCCTTTGATAATTAAATCAAAATATGTTGCTTCTCATCTTTAAAGTGACATTATACCGGTTTTCAGGATTTCGTCGTTTGCTGGGAAACAAATAGATTTGATGTGATTGGTCAAACACTTACCTTGGCGATGTTGAAATGAGATTTGACACACTGATCAGCAGTGAATATTGGCTAGGCCGCTACAGTCACTGATAAGGATGACATCGATGCGACTTAATGAGCCACAAATATTAGCTTTTTTCCTCCGTCAAATTAAATTCTAAAACATTTGTTTTATGTATTAGAAAAATAAATAAATACGTTTGACGTATTTGTAGGTAAAAATTATTTCCTATATAGTGTAAATGGGTATTAAAATGAGTAAAAGACACCATTCTGCCCAAACCAGTAACGTCTTATGTAAACAATGCACGCGCCATTGAGACAACGATTGACGCCGCGTGATGAGACGTCACGTGTTGAAGGTAGTCATCTTTTACAGGGATATTAGAAGACTTTCGTAATCTTCTTTGAAACAGATTGGAGATTTGATTGTAATATATATAAAATCTGATACAAATCCCCAGCAGTTGCTAAGAAAAGGACGTTTTGACGTTCAGTTTACGAATCGGACACGCTTTTGAAGAATGCGTTATAAACTCTATAAATAAATCTGTGTAAGGATTTCAATTGTGAAGGATATTTGGCGTGTACGTTAAAGAACCCTTGGCAGTTATAATTCAGTTGATGTCTGGGCAAATTTTCCTTCACAGCACAGTATGGCATTATAAACTCCATTTCATTAACTATAGATTCCAAGAGCTGGACAAAAATCATATATTACTTTTGATTTGATGCAATGTGACTATACAGTTATACAGGAAATATTCAAATTAGATTCAGTCTGATTAAAACACAGATCCTATTTCGTTTCGTTTTTATAGTTTAAAATTTCGTTTTACTTGTCTTTACTACACTAGGATCTGGAAGAGTTGATCTCATTGACGTGTTCTGAATGATGTGAGCTATTAAGCAATGAAACAGTCTGTTACGGCAAGCTTTAGGCGTGTTTTACACGGAACTGTGGGTAATCCACTAGTAACATCAATGCTGATTGGTTAATCAAATGTCTGACGTCATAGGGTCAAAAGCCCCTGATGCGACCTATCGCTACAACCGGTCAGATCTTCATGTGAGTCATCGAAAGTATAAAAAAACAAACGAAATTTAGATCTGTATTTTAATAAGATTGAATTAGATTGTATGAAACATTTGAGACAAATCTGGCCATCCATTTAGGTGATTGAAGTTTATTTTGAATATATCATACCAAATTTAATAGATTCATTTCTTGGTGAGTTTAATAATGTCTCTTTGAATTTGACAAAAAAAATCCACAATTTTTATTTTGAATTGTCGACTGAAATTTAAAATAAAATAAAGAAAACGGTTCCAATATACACAGACTCAGAGGTTTAGTTTGAACATAGCAAACTCTTTCTTATAGCACAATTTAAATTTACTTTTAGGAATGATATCTTTTTTTCATAGACACATCTAGAATTGTTGAAAAGATTTGGGATGAAGGTTAAAGCCGAGATTTAATATCAAAGAATGAGGTAAGATTTGTGGTGATGATACAATGCTAAAACAACATGACGACATGTAACTTGGATTCGAATCAGAGAGGAAATACACCGACCTCATGCCAGCAGTCTATTGATGTTTGAAATAAAATACAGAATAAAATGCTGACGATGTCGTCTATTGCATTTGCACGTGCATTAGGTACTTCAAATTAAAGTTAAAAGAATGGAAGCCTTTATAAAAACGTTTAACAGAAATAGTTATCGTTCTTTTATTGTTTAAAGTCTAGCTACACACGGTACGGGCGATCTTTTTCGCTTGTTGAAACAAGAGCAATTGTTAGGCAATTGCTCTATTTACCAAATATTTTATCATGTGCTGTAAATGCCAAGATGGTTCTATTAGCATTTCACATTTTCTGCAAAAACTAAC